ATTATAATTTACTTTCTATAGTGCATCGTTTCATAATTTTATGATTTTTCATTCAATCATTTCACCTAACAGACTAAATTCAGATAAAAAACAAACTATACAATATGCATGCAATAATATTGTATACCTACAATATTGCTATGGTTGTATACCTACTGTAGTTGTTTTAATGATAATAGAGGTAATTTAAAAACGAAAATTGTAAAGTATTTTATCCAAACATAGTGTCATAATTTCACACGTATATTGGGTATACCTAACCTATTGTTAATCTTAAGTCATCTATGTATTTTGTGATTTATAGCTATTTTAAACTAATTTATTCAGTTTTTTATATTCATGATATGAGAAATGTAACCAATAATAATTACTCTAAATAATATTATGAATAGGTACCCATAATTATTTACTATTATATTATTATAATTTTTTTTAATTTTTATTTATTCTTCAAGAAGATAATCGGCCCAACTGAACTTGTTCGTGTGGGGGCCAATCAAAATATACTATTAGTTTAGAATAGTATCTCTCATCACTGCTGTATGTACATACAAATACAATGTCATCACAATAATATTTTCCAAACGATTGAGTGCGTTTCATCATAATAATATTTTCCTCGTGGACAACGCACTCAATCTTTTCATCTATATTTATGTATAGTACTATTCTATCGTTGCTACTGCTGGTTGCGTTCTCATTACTGATTTCTAAATTAGTGTTCGACGACAAATGTCATGTTAATAAGACATGCATTTAGTTCGTCGCCATGTGTCATGGCCTAGGTGTTTAGATATTATCTTACAACAGGTACAACTCCGCGGGGCCGGTCTGGAAATACGAATTTTCCCGATGACCTGGACCATAATATTATGGCCTGGTTGCCCGGTCATTTTATATGAGATTTTATTTACAAACTTGGTAAATACGTCAACAATTATTTGTTTGTATTAAGACTTTAAATCTATGAAATTATTGTAGGTATTATCATTATAATTATTATTAATTGTGTTACATTTTAATATGATCGTATGAGTATGAGAGAAATCATCGGATATACAATTTCAAAATATCACATGCACAATATTGTAGACATAAAATAAAATAAAAACAATATCTCGACGTCGGCTATTTATTATTATAATACAACACCCGGGTAGCGTGTGGGTTTCGACTAAAACTCAGCAGAAGTAATTTTTCAAAGAAATAATATATTATTACCTATAGATATGACTCTTTGACGTCGTGCTTGCTGAAAGTTATATATCTGTAGAGCGGTGACGGACATGGCACTACCTAATTTTCTAATTGAACAATAACTAATAATACATAACATTGTGTAATTGGGCCATTGGTCATTATTATTTGCATAAACAATATCTGTAGTAAATCCAAACAAATCTTTGCATGCAAATGCGATGTGGTTATGCTGGTTACTGGTTAAGGGCGTTAAGAGGACGCTACACCCGAATACTCTGTAATTATTTTCTAAATTATTTTGTTTACTTTTTATATACATTGACAGTAAATACCATCCCTGTTACGCAAATTGCATGTCAAAGGTCATTTTCAACATTAAAATATTTGAAAAACAGTCTGAAAAATGTAATGACCAATGAACATCTTAAAATATGAAATTCTCATGGAATGAGATAACAATATTACCTATTATAAATGCAGTTGGTGAGAACTCTTAACTATTATTAAAATTATTATTACTTATAAATATATCTATAAATATTTTTAATGGGTAAATAATCTGTTTTTATGACGTACATAATTTTGAATATTTTATTATTTTGTTTATAATTTATATATTTATTTCCTATAAATGTATTTGTAACTTACTACCTGCTTATACCTAAACCATTAAGACACAATATACAACTATTAACATTGCAGTGATTTCAACTATTTAGCTATACTAATATTATTTTCCTGGTATTAGTGGTACCTATATATTAATACACTGCAGTAAGTTAAGCGAAATAGCAGAAATGTGATTGAAATACCTACTTTGGTATTACTGAAAGTAGTATCATTATTATGAATGAAATTTATTAGTTTAGCAGTGTAGCTTTGTAGGTTCTAAAAGTCATTTAAATGGTAAGTGATGAGTAGCCTGGATAAATTGCAATCTCCCGGGCTGAATTTGGTCCCCATTCCGTCAGAGGGTACAATGTAAAGATTTTGACAGTCATAATATTATATATGCTATCGGCGGCCGAACACGACCCGACCAATGTTATAAACGACTTTTTTAACGTTTGAAATTACCTTTTACTGGTAGATATAGATATCTATGTTCCAATTTATGTTATAATATACTTATATAGCCATATAGGTATGTACAGTTGTAATCAGCTGCATTATATATTAAGTAATTATTAAAATTTTTACACTACTTTGTTAAGTTCAAAGCTGTATAATATGATAATAATATAGTCATATGAAGTGTAAGATAATACATATTATATAGGTACCTATTAACCTAGTATTTAATAGATTATTCACAAAAAAACCTTGTTGAATCAATATAATAAAAAAACATAGAAATAAAATGAATGTATAATAAACAATTCATTACCTACCTATTGTTTTGGTAATCACACCAACCATTGCTGCAATCCTGCTTTATTTATCGAGTAATTATTTTCATTTTTACACGACTCTGTTAAAGTATAAAGTTGTATAATATGTTTATAATAGTAATATACTCATATGAAATATATGATAATACATAATAATATAATAATATGCTCTATTGTGGTTTATGACTAGGTATACCCACTGAACTCTATACCTACATGGAAGGCACATTGTATATAATTCATGTATTGAAAAGTGTCCCCATATCGAGGGCTGCCATTTTGATTCCGTTAGTGTTCCTATCGATGATTTGTCATTGATAGAATTACTTTATTAGCTTATCTTCTACGAAATATCAGTGATATACCGGTGGATCGCATATTTCGCAGATAATTTTTATTGTTTATTCTATGAGAAGAATCAAAATGGCAGCCTACTAGGGTGGGACAGTTTTTTTTTCCCAATGCGCGTTCCATAGTATACAGTTCAGTGGGTATACCTACCTATTTAATAAATTATTGACAAAAATATTGTGGATTAATTGATAATAACAATATAATAAAACATAGAAATTAAATGAATGTTTAATAAACAGTTCATTAATGTTTTGTTAACCACACCGTCCATTTTAATTCTAGAGTATGCAGGTTTAAAGACGAATTGCATACCCACTTGAAATGAATCTGGTTTCGTATTTCATAGGCAAATCTCAACATTTTTATTTAATATTTATTGACAGCAGTAATAATTCACTGTAATTGCATAATATTCGCATGCGCACTTATCCATAAGTTAATTTTGCAATGAGCCGTTTGCAGAAATTGGACTTTGAGTGATGTTTAAAAAAGTGTATTTAAACATTTAGACATATTGACTGATACAGCTCCTGTCCATCACTTTTCTTCCTACATTATAATGTTATAAGCTTAAAATATGTATGTATTTTTAATTATAATAATACCTATGTAATATATTGTACTATACCTATGCCGGGTTGCATAAAAGCGATGATTAAATTAGTTTAATGGTT